TGTGTCATTTTGATCAGAATTTCGCTTTTTACAATTTTAACTTATTAAGAAAAGTTTTGGCGAGCTTTTGGAGTTTCTGGAAAACTGGTTTCCTAGAAATCCAGTCTTTGGAGGCCTAGCGGCCCAAACTATTGTCATATTCGGATTCAGCACATTTTTTTACCTATTACCCACTAGCTTAGAGCTAAAAAGCGAGGTGGCAGTTGGTGACCTTCCCTCGTCAGTCTTTCGATGGGTGGAAAATACATCATGTATTTTTCACCCATTTTAAAGTTCGTCGGCATTGAATGAGCTGTTTCGTTTAAAAAGTAAAACGTTCGTACAATGCAATTTTTTTTCTTCTTAATCTTTTATGAAGCATTTAAATTTTATATTTTCGTTTTAGAACAGAAAAAAGCAATAAAAAGCGATTATTATTTTCTTATTGTCAAGATGGCAAAAGACACACACATCTATCAGAAAAAATTTGTATATCTCTCATCGTATTTTGACCCAAGTGCATAAGATTATCTATTTCAAAAGAGATATTTCAAATCAATATTCTAAAAGCCTGAAATTTTGTTATGTGTCAGTTAGCATAAGCAGCCGTACAAACTCAAATTATACAATTCTGCGACAGCAAAAACTTACGATTATTACTTTCCCTTCTTATTGTTGTTGCACACCCGAAATCGCCAATGCACAAATCATTGTTGGTAATAAATATATTTGCTGGTTTTAAATCACGATGGACTGCAAAAAGAAGTTTACATTCTAATGAAACCTATTAATAATTTATCCCATATGACACTATCACTAAACTGGAGATAATAGACTGATTTATTGCAATGCCACATATTTCATTGCACTGTGGTGCACAGACAGCCATTGAGAAACACTTCGTTCAGATATGAAACATAACGCAAACTGCTCGCACCACAGTCAAAAATTAACATGCCTTCTGTATGACCTCGAAGGATAGAGCTCTAAAAGTTACCCATATTTTTTTTACAGAAAGTCTCACCAAAAGTATCACGAAAATCGATGTTTCTTATATTTTAATATTATTTGGTCTATTCTTTATTTTAATATTTTGTGTTATATATAAGTTGAACAATCATAAAAAATTGAGCAAGACAATCTAGTTTTAAGAAATTTACGTTAGAAGTTACTGGTAAAAAAGTACAAATTATTCAACTTTTTCAAAAGTTTGGTTTTTGTCTTCTGATCTTTATTTCTGCTCGTGTCTGCGCGAAATTCTTGTTCGAAACCTTCATGTCTGTTTCGACTGTGGTAGAACTATTTCTTGATCATATGAATCGACATACTGATAAATTCCTTCTGATATAATAAAAATTTTCATTTTTAAAGTATTAGATTATTTCTCAGTTTGTCTCGAGTTTCCGTCATGTGTTATTTTTAATGCCTTATCGAATTTTGTGACGAGGTATTCGAACAACGGTGTAGAACTATTATCTGCAGTCTCTAGGTACGATTAGATGCCACAGTTTATCGCTAGTGTTTCGCACGATTGACACAAGATGGTATTTACGAAAATTGTCAACATCCAGCACTTGGCGCCTTTAGGTTTGGAAGGGTTTATTCACCGTTGGTACGACTGCAAAATCTCAATAGGATAAGTGCTGGATGTTGACAATTTTCGTAAATACAATCGTGCGAAACACTAACAATAGACCCCGGCATCTAATCGTACACGACCGATTGAGCTCAAATTTATAGCAGAGATAGAACATGCAAAAAGAAAATCGATGTAGTTTTGCTTAGAATTTTCTGAGATATTCTTATATGGATTTTCCAGAAAACTTCAGTTTCCATCCAGTCATATTACGAGTCCTCGAAAAAATTGTTCAATCGAGCTCAAAGTTTTCCCACAATTGCTTATTTTTTTAGAACCTATCTTAGAATGAAACGGCTCAAACATCCGGTTATCCTTCTTGATATTTGCTTGAGTCAGTAGTTTTCAGAAATTTAAATTCTAAATACACCAACATCAGTTTTTCTTCAAAATGATATAATTTGACTCATAAATAAAGCTTTCAAAAAGTTAACAAATGATACTAAAGCCCTCTTCCCCCTCCAGAATAGAAGGTCATGACCTTCTATTATGGTTTCGCACATCGTGCGTTTTTCCGAGGAAATTGTGGTACCTCTATAGGAAGATTCTGAAAATATTTTGCTCCAAATTAGCCCGAATGGTCTACTAAGCGGGGAATGGACTTAATTCTGTTGCTATTCCTTGTAGCGTCAATCTCGAGACATAACAGTGGTCCCATTTCACCCATGTAAAATAGCTCATTCTGTAGGCAACTAAGCACTCTTCAAACTGATTTGTACTTCTTTTGCCACTAACCTCTGACATAAACTTCTTAAAACTATCCTGTCTCGTTCAGTTTTTTTCTGCTCGTTTGACCCATATATATTTTAACAAAAGCTCTGAACTCTCTATTCACTGAGATCATGCAAAAAGCGTGCTAATTTTTGATCGGGGTACCCGTTTTCTCAACAGGTGTCTTTTCATACTTACTAACATTTCTTGAATGCATATATTTAATTCCTTTTAGTATTTTATACATATAATGTTTTATATTATCTATTGTTAATTTATGTTTTATTTTAGATAAATCATGACCCATTAAATCTTGTACTAAATATATTTCATTTAGATCGTCTCGTAAAATAACATCACGTAATTTAATTATATTATTATGATTTAATGTATTTAATATTTTCATTTCTTTATATGCATTTTTCCAAAATTTTAATTTATCTAATTCAGAACCTGATAGATCAAGTTCAAGCTTTTTAATCGCTACTTCTTCATTGGATAATCGATGTAATGCTGATACAACATTATCTGCAATTTTATCTAAATGATAGTATGATGTTCCAACATTGTAAGTATTACCACGTATTGAATATTTGGTAGGATGAACAGTATTATAATACGATTGTTCCTGTACACTAATTCGTTCTATAAATACAATTAAGGTTAATTTGTATAAAGGAAATGGAATATAATCATAGAAAACTCACTTTCATTATGATTTGTTTTGTATATTTGTACTGGTCCAACCGTATGTGAATCTATCCAAAACATAAAAACTAATATATTTGTGTAAAAATTGTCTTTTACGATATCATACTGTTCGTCTTAAAATATTGACCCATGTTTGGTACTTCTGTATCATTCTGCGATCGTACAGTTTGTTCAAATATATCTGTGTGACTACAAAGTAAGTTTAATTCAAATACAGATCGTCTTGTACAATGATTATCCAAAGTTTCTATGGATAAAGACGCGTTTGCGTACGGCTTGTCACTATTACCAGTGGGTAATAAATTCTCTTCGGCGTTTGTAAATAATGCAGCGCACATTGAACTGACTTACTTCTACAATGGTATAAATTCACATGATTAGTTTATCTTTTATATCGCTATTCTAAAGAGAGTTCCAATTTAAAAGATTTGTAGTCATTAACAGAATTAAATGTAATTTCTCTTCTTCATAATCGAAGACTATGTCTTATCATTTTTTCTAGAGATCCTCTCCATGACTTTTGGCCAAAACTTGACTTGAGCTGCTTGCCAAAATAGAAGACCACGTTGATCTTCTTATATTGGGAGAGAGGGAGGGGGAGATACATCATTTGAGACATTGAGGTGTTCGGTCCTGCTGAACTTAACGATATAATGTTCATTTGTGTCATTTTCAGTTTTCTAAAACCCTAGTTTTGACTAAAGTCAGTTGGAAAGAATTTATTTACTGACATTAGGGTTGCCGTCAGAATTGTTATTGCTTCAAATTCTTATAGTTTTTCATAGAAATGAAAGAAGAAAAGTAAGAAACGATAGAACTTTTACCCTGAAAAGGTTAAACAGGATTTCTACGTATGAATAAAATAGAATCGTGAAGGAGCGCAAATTCTGTCTAAAAATTCACTTGTGGTTCTTATAAGCTTTATTGAAAAGAAAAAAAGTTAGAAAAGATCAGTACAATAATGAGGAGAAGGAGGCGAACCCATTGTATCTTTACATCATTGACTGCGGACAAAGGACAGGACAAGAAATACATATAAAAACAAGTGACAAGG